TTGATAAAACTAAGCCTGCAGTGGGTTTCATTAAGAGCCAAGTGAAGGGTTTCGAATGAATGGAAACAGAAACCGGCCACTGACAGTGGGCCAAAGGGCCACCTTCTGTACTCTGTGACTGTGTTGAAGATTCTCCTGCTTTCAGGAAAGCAGTGACAAGGTCTCTTGTAGGACTAAAATCAATCAATCAGCCAAGTTTGCACTCAGGGTTTCCAAACTGCTCAAAGTTCAGTCCAAAAGCGGCATTTTTCACAAGCCAGGAATGGTTAGGTAGATATATAGAGAGGGGTAGGGACAAAGAGGGACTAGGCAACTTTTACCTTCATAGAGACATAGAAAATAGGAGCAGGAGTAGGCTATTCAGCCCTTTGAGCCTACTCCGCCTTTTAATATGATCATGGCTGATCATCCAACTCAGTACCCTGTTCCCGCTTTGCTCCCGTTGATCCCTTTAGCCCTAAAAACTTTATATAACACCTTCTTGAAAACATTCAATGTTTTGGCTTCAATTGCTCTCTGTGCCAGAGGATTCCACAGGCACATCACTCACTGGGTGAAGAAGCTCCATTGCTTGGGCAGTGGACTGGAACACCCGTCAATCATAGAGTTCAAACAGATTTTACTTCTATATGGGGGTGGCCATTTTGTTAGACTAATTTACTGCCAAAACAGTGAAGGTGGAAATAATTGGAAAATAAACTTTGAGGGGGCACGAAGATTGAAAACTGAGACCCCCAACCTGAACAGGAAAGCCAAAGAGTTTTGGCTCCACCAGGCGCATGGGATAGTTTTGAGACATGACCCCTGTTTGGATATCAGCGTGAATGACAGGCTTGGCTTTCAGTCAGGTTAGTTGCCCGTTGCTAGTGAGAGCACAGACTGTGGGGAAGCTCCGATCTCTGGCCCTGGAGGGAGGTTGGGGCTGGCTGTTCAATTCAGGAAGGAGAATTTTGAGGACCACAGGGAAAGCAGGGAAAAGATGTCCTCCAAAACTGTCCTTCCAAAAATGACTCTTTCAAAGCCTAAATATACCTACAAAACCAAGACAGGCAAAGATTTGAACAATTCTACTAACTGGGATGCTAAACGCCAGTGCTCAGATGTAAAAACTTAGACCACCCTGAGCAAAAAGGCAATTAGACAGTGCAACAAGAACTACAATGGCAGGTTACGTGTCTTACAGAATGATTATGATACCGCTGGGATGGATGAATGGATCGAAATCTCTCGATGGATTTGAAACACAGGCAGCCACACTGAAAGCTGTAAACTCTTTGTTATGTGAGATTGTACAGACATTCTCAATACCCCAAAGCAATCAATGGAAGCAATGAATTGACACTTGAAAGACTAAAGCACCTGAAACTACAACAAGATCTCAAACAGGAAATTCCAATTTTCTGGGATTTAAGAGACAGAGGGTTTGAAGATCAGCTAGGCAAGACAATCATGCTGGGAGAAATGAGAAACTGAAGACAAGGAGGAAGATTGAGCAAATGGCACTTGATGATATCAGATAATGAGAACAGACAGCCCTGTAAATACATAGCAACTCAAAGGGGACTAACAACTAGCCTTCTGGTTAGACAGCTGGGAAAGTAACTGACTTCTTCCTTTTCAGATGCTCATGGAGCAGCTGTATACCCTTATTTTGGATCAGGGTTTGTAGTTTTACTTTATTTTTATCTAGGCTGTTCAAGCAATTGGACAGGAATGCCAACCAGACAAGCAGTTTCAACAGCACACACAAGTGTCACTGGTAATCTAGTTTCTTTAGTGGTATAATACTTGAAGGCAGATAACAAAGAAAACAGAAACCTAACCTACTTCAGTGGATGTCATAATGTATGCCATGAATCAACAGCTATCATGTTGTATTGAGAATGTGTTACCCCATTATCTCATATCCTATTGGCCAGAAACTCATGCAACCAACAATCAATGGGAGTAGGTTCCTCACTATGGGAACTGATCGTTTGATCGCCTCTCTCTCTCTCTCTCCTTTTGATCACGACTCGCTGACAATATGTATGAGCTATCCTGGGTGTAGCCAGCACATCTCATTCCCCATGGTATACTGAATACCAGGCAGTTTACTTAACTTCCTCAAGTGCTATTCTCTTGCTCCCAAAGTGTCATCACTTTTTTCAGCAGCCAATTTACTGCAGTTTTGCCTTACAACAGAGTTTTATCCAATGTATACTGGATTGGAAAACATCTTTTGACTCTCTTCCTATCGTTAAGAAAACCAAAATCACACAACGGGAAGATAGTAAGAACTGCCGATGCTGGAGTCAGAGATAACACAGTGTGGAGCTGGAGGAACACAGCAGGCCAGGCAGATCAGAGAAGCAGGCAAGTTGACATTTCGGGTTGGGACCCTTCTTCAGAAATGGAAGGGGTGGTAGAGAAAAGAAGCTCAGAAATAAATGTAGAGAGGAGGGGTGGGGCTGGGGAAGGTCGGTGGGATGGTGATAGCTGAGTGCAGGCAGCTCCACACTGTGTTATCTCTGACTCCAGCATCTGCAGCTCTTGCTATCTGTGATTTATAACCCCACTGTGAAGCGTCTTCCAAGGACACCCACCTTGAAGTTATCCTCCTCCCTCCAGAAAGACCTCCGTGGATCTCTCTCCCACTGCAACCCTCTGGTAGTCTCTTCGGTCCTGAAACTCTTAGCTCCTCCCACCTCACTATTTATTTCTGAGCTCCCTCCCCCACCCAATTTCTGAAGAAGGGTCCTGACCCAAAATGTCAACCTTTGTGGTCCTCTGATGCTGCCTGGCCAGCTGTGTTCCTCCAGCTCCACACTGTGTTATATCTCACACAATGGGGAGAAGCTTTCCGAAACTCTGAATGTGGCTCCAACTCTCTTGTGCAGGCGTTCCCTTGTGCAACTAGCATTAATTGTTATAAACAGGTGACTTAAAATTTCTCTTCTTTTAAAGTATGAAGAAGGAGAGGAGGACCAAAGGCAATAGGTGTGGTTAAAAATGAAAGAAAATCTGAGGACTGGAAAAATCAGAGTGGACAATCAAAACGCAAGCAACAAGTTTGGCAAAAATATGGTATGATGAGAAATATTCATGAAAAAGCAGACCTGTACACTTTCTGCATGATTTAACAGTACTTACAAACCTGAATCCTTTTTAATTCTCTTAGTCAATCTGAACATGAGCCTGCACAAAACAACTAAATGAATAAAATGAATAAAAGCTGATCCAAATTTGCTGAGGAGCTGCAAGATGTACACCAGGCAGACATTTTACCAGTTTAGGCAACTTGTGGCCTATAGAATCTATTCAGATTCTCTGTGCTGTTATTAACAATGTGGAGTTCAGAGATTCTCTTGGTGGCAATTTGTTTCTGTTGGTGAGAAAATAAGATATCCATAAGTCAGCACCTGATCAGTGCACGTGATACTTTTTCCATCTGACAAAAGAGGTAAACAACAGAAAATGACATACAAAACACAACGCTGCGAACCAAACACTCCGCCGCAGCGTTAAAAAAGAGCTTGTGGAACAAATCTCCAAATTACAAGATTTATTTTTAAAATGCCACAAATGAAATTCCAGCCATATGGAGGCAATGAAAATGGTCAGCAAGTTATTGCTATAGCGCAATCATAAAGGAAGAGTTTCAGAAGTTCATTTAGAGTTGAAGACTGTTGAAATTGGATGTATGTTCTGATATAATGCTATTTAAAAAAGGTCACATTTAACAACTCAGCAAATTGGAAGACATGAGGTGTCAAGAGAAGTGAGATAGCATGGGCAGAGGAAACAAAGCTTTGAAAATCACATCATGGAATATCTGAACTGATACTCGTGTCAGCTTTGCTAATTTCTCCAACAATTCTCTTTCACGGTGTTCATGAAAGTCTTAACTGTCATCGTTCTTCATCACCTCAGATATAAGGCGGCAAAATATCACACATCTCATCAAGCCCTTGTTCTTATTCCAAAATCATTGGCTTTTCCTTTATATAATCTGAACAGTCTTGTTTAATGTTCAATACTGGCTTAATATAGCTACCGTGGTATAATTTTCTGCAAACCCCTAAAGAAAGCAAAATGATTTCTTCATGTCATGATTCGAACATGCCAGAGACAGAGGAGATAGCAGTTCATTGTCATGAAGCTCCAATGGAGTAGAGACCAGAGACCAACAATGAAATCCACAAAGGGATAGCCCTTTGAGACACTTCTTGTACAGAAAGCGAGGACATCATTGACTGGTGTTCTCACAGTTCTTAAGAGGCAATGTTTGGTCTCACACACCAGCGATTAGATATAGCTTGTGGGGGATCGACAGCATGGGCTCCATCAGCCGCACAGAGCAGAGAGTACACTGCACAACGTTTCACACGACAGCTGTGCATAGCTCATCCGACTTGTTGAAATGCAGCCTACAATAATGAAGAAGCAGTATTGCCCAGTAGCACCCTTAGATTTTGACATTCTGATAATCATTAATGAGTTGAAGGGCACAACATTATCGTACCACGGCTTGTAAGCCACTACATTCGGAGGTTACTGGGAGGTCACCTCTACGGATGATAACTCCCAAAGATCCATGGACAGATAACAGCATTCCCCACAAATGAAAAGCATGTTCACAATACGATTATTATAAACTGGCTCTTTCAAAAAAGAAACATTATCCATCTTTAAGAAAAAAGCTCGCCTCGTATTTCTGGCTTTATTAATAACGTCCTAGGGTCAAGCTGATTAGTATGCCCAACACAATTCTTCTCAGCTCCCATTTGTTCATTATTTTAGTTTCGATACAGTACAATTAAATGCCTGGACCCATTAAAATAGCTGCACTCATAATAAGATGCACATTACTGTTATTAGTTGTGCCACCAACTGGATTACTACTTGCATAATGATGTTTTACATCTTGTAATATACAGTAAAATATTAATCACATGCCTGCTGAAACACTTAGAATGCATTTAGATGTTACTTCATCATGTATCAAAATGCTCACTTACCTCTTGGTCCAAACCATGAAACAAAATAGTAATTTAGTGTCCGGTCCACAGCTTCCATTTTTAAAATCTATAGTAATTAAATAAGAAGAGTAAATAGAATGGAACAAACAAGATAACTCAGAGATGTTTCAATGATGCTCAGCACATTTATCAGAATTGCTTATTTTCTGCACTATCTCCAGAGCATGTACATTGGTTGGTGGGGGAAAGGGGCGATTGGAACAGGGTCAGAATCTCCTGCTGCAGGTTGCAGCATTTGTCACTGAAGGGTGCAGAACTGCATCTGGGACTTAAGAGTATGACTACTGGCACTGACCTCCACAGCTATCTAATCGTTCCTTTTGACCGGTGTGTGTGTATGAAGAGCCACCTGAAGAACCAGTGCAGACATAATGCAACTCTCCAACTTTCCATCTCCTCCACTGAGGCATCCAGAGTTACTGATGAAAACTTTGAAGCCAGTTCCCTCCCACGCTATGTTTCCTAAGTCAGATTCTCTTCTCACACCACTGTCAACTCATGTCCCAATCCTAAAGCACCTTGCAGGTTGCATGGGTTACCTTTGAGCGGTGTTAGCAAGACTTCATTCTCGGTCCCTCTGCCCATGAACATTGTGATCAACGTTGACTGCCACAGCAATTGCTAACATGAGTAGGGTGCATCAAGTTGCCATGCTGTCTGCATCACGTTGTGGGGGAGCTGGGCACAGTGTGATCCCACGCCTGTTTCCGAGGGTTATCCAATTTAGTCCTGAACACAGTAAGGGTGATACTATCATCCAGTGCATGTACTGGGGTGCAGCTCTTCAAGGGGGTCGATCTCAGGAAGGTAAGGCTGCACAGTTTAGCATTTTTCAGACCTAAAATTACAAGGAGGAGATTCACAGGCTGCACACTGACAATTCATCAGTTCTGCTTTCTGCACTGCTAGTACCTAAAGATCATGGAAGCACCCTCTATATTTCAAACAGTGCTATCAGTCAACAATCAGGCAATGCTTTGAAATCGAGTACTTGATTACCACGCTTAGTAAGAATTTCAACCTTTCAATTACAAATTATGAATAATTATACTAAGATCTTCATTTTCAAGTTGGCCATTCAAATCTGTCCGACTTTCCATCTCCTCCACGGAGGCATCCAGAGCTACTGGTGAAAACTTTGAAGCCTGTTCCCTCCCATGCTATGCAGGTATAGTGGTATTATCACTGGCCTGTTAATCCAGAGACCCAGACCCCAGATGTTCTGGCGACCCAGGTTCAAAATCCACCATGGCAGATGGTGGAATTTGAATTCAATAATAATCTGGAATCAAGAGTCTAATGACGACCACGAATCCATTACCAATTGTCAGGAATAACCCGTCTAGTTCACTCGTGTCCCTTAGGGAAGGAAACTGTCCCCCTTACCTGGTCTAGCCTACTTGTGACTCCAGACCCACAGCAATGTGGTTGACTCTTGACTGCCCTCTGGGCAATCTGCCTTGCCAGCGATGCCCTCATCCCGTGATTGAATAAAAGAAAGACTAGATAGAACCATCTTGCGCAGTGTGGGTTAAGGGATTCATGGTGTTTAATGAGAACCAACGATCACACTCACATAGACTCTACTTTAATAAAAGGAACAACAATAATCTGTGAGTAAAAGACCTCTCAACCATAACAATAGTGGAAAGCCAGTAAGTGTGAATGTAAAAAGAAACTGTGAATGTGGGAACTTCAAATTAAAACAAAGAATACAACTAAGTTTTGAAAGAAAGATTGATTTAGATACGTATACAGCAGCCTTAAACCTTTGTCTTCCATTTGCTAACTGCCAGTTTCTACCAATTTCTATGGAAAATGTTAGTGTTCACGACAGTAATCTGGCAGAGTGAATCAGCTCCCCCATTATACACCGTGCCCAGTCTGCACCCCACTGATTTCAATGGATCCACAACAGTCAGATGTCCGCTGTATCAGGTTACCACCCAAACAGTGAATGCAAAAGTACTGTTCTAACAAATAGACGTAATTAACAGCGAAACTGCTATGAGATAGGAAATGAAATCAAAACCACAACAACAACAACAACAACGGTCAAAATCCAGTAGTGCAAGCAGCTAATATTTGGCTTCCAAGGAGACATCAAGGGATTGCAAACTGCAGGGTCAACTATGCCACAAATACACTTGCTAGACTCCTTTAGATCTTGGCTGGATCATAAGATGGAAGGAACGTAATCTATCTTGGGGAAGAGACGCACACTCATCCACCAACCCCGCTTCTGATTTGAAATAAACCATTTGTCAGACTCTAATAAAACAAGTGTGAAATCTACAGTTCAGACTTTGTCTAATTCAAGAGGCAGAGAAGGATTGTTGATGGCATATCTATACAATATTGCATTGTCTCTTAAGTGGATGCTGGCATTACTCATTTATTTTGTAAAGGGTTAACCCTTCCATTAAAACAAGGAACTGGGGCTTGTCATTCACCACTAGTAACTTCAAAGGTTATCATCATTAAGCACTGTCCAAATAAGAAAGCAAATCAGAAATAAAATGAATAGGGAAGGAAATTAATCTGCAAGTTATCTTTTAAATTCTATTTTGGTCTTTTTAATGCCTGCTTTTTAGAAGTCATTGCACTTCCGCTGTATCTATTGATTGTTAAAAGCAATCAAAAGAAGAGTTAGACAAACAAAGGCTTCTTTTGCTAATTTACAAATATCCTGCTTAGGTTTCAAACAACGGAAGTCACAAACTACGCAACGACAGAGCACAATATTATAAACTCTCAGGATTGCATAAATCACAGAAAAGACAACTATCTAACACTCTACTCTTTTAAACTGAAAGTAAAAAATCTCCCTCGACACTGTCTCCATCAAACTCTCCCAGGATAGGTACAGCACAAGATCTATATCATTCTCCCCTTACCAAATATATCAAACACCATCTACAAGTTTGCTGACGACACCACTGTACTAGAATGGCTATCTGACAATGACGAGTCAAACTACAGAAGGGAGATAGAGGGCTTGGTGACATAGTGCAATGAAAACAATCTGTCTCTCAACATCGGCAAAACTAAAGAACTGATCATTGACTTCAGAAAGAAAGGAGGAGAACACAGCCCCGTCTACATCAATGGAAGTGAAGTTCCTTGGAGTGACGATAACCGATAACCTGTCCTGGACTTCCCACATAGATGCAATAGTCAAGAAGGCACAACAATGACTTTACTTCCTCAGGAAATTTGGCATGTCCGTTAGGGCCCTCACCAACTTCTACAGATGCACCATTGAAAGCATATTGTCCAGATGCATAACAGCCTGGTATGGCAACTGCTCTGCCCAGGTCCGTAAGAAACTACAACAGGTGGTGTGCACAGCCCAGACCATCATGGAAGCCAACCTTCCATCTATTGACTCCATTTCTAAGGCTCGTTGCCGCAAAAAGGCTGCCAACATAATCAAAGACCCATTGCACCCTGGTGATGATCTCCTAGAACTGCTTCCGTCAAGCAGAAGATACCGAAGCATGAACACATGCATGAGCAGGTTCAGGAACAGCTTCTTTCTGGCCCTTATTAGAATGATGAATGGCCTCTCTAGCCTCAAATAACGCTGATCTTGCTAACATTGATCTCACCTAACGTGCGTCCTGTGCAATGTAACCTGTATGCCTCTGTCTAAGACTTCTTGATCTGTACGTCCTTTCCTTACTACGATCTGCCTGTACCGCTCATAAACAAAGCTTTTCACTGTATTTTGGTACACACGACAATAAGCCAATCAATCAATTCCATGAGGTGGGAGGTTCAAGTAGGGATCCACCTACTTGGAAATGACCTCTTTGCACAGGATTTTCACTCTGAGGGGTAGTGCCTGTCGCCCCTGGGAGGTTTGGAGTAATCCCAGAGGCTGGTGAGTGTCAGGGTTGACCAGTTAAAGGGTCTGCCCCGACCCTCTGCGACATCAGCTCGGTTTTATAACAGCCTGTTAATGCACTCTAGACCTCTCCCATCTCCCGTGCCTGCTCATATCCATCAGCCAACCCCACAGCCATTTAACCCATAGCCATGACGGGCAGGCCTCAGAAGCCATTTCAAACTGGAAACAAAATTCAAAGTCAGCCTAAGTCTGCAAAGATCTCAATCAGTAACTGCACATTGGGAACAACCATTTGCAACTGGAACCCTCTTGACAAATAATTTGTCTATAAACAAATAATAATTGAAATGCCATTTAAATTTTTGACTGCATTTGGCTGAAGGGCTGATTTGTGATGCAGAGTAACGTTAACAGCATGACTTCAATTCCTGCACCAGCTGAGGTTACCATAAAGGACTCTCCTTCTCAACCTCTCCCCTCACCCGTGCCGTGGTGGACTTCATGTTAAACCACCGTCAGTTGTCTCTCTCTCTCTCTCTCTCTAATAAGAAAGCAGCCCTATTGTTTGGTAAGACTATGGTAACTTTACCTTTTTAAATAAGACGATCGCAATCAAGTAACTGATGTAAAGAAAAAGAGCCTTACAGACCTTACGGGAAAAGGATGAAACTTCTTAAACTTGAATTCCTCTCTTCACAAATCACATCAAGTAATTTGACAGGACAGAAACAGGCATTCGGACAATTACTCCATGTCAGTGTTGACACAGCACGGGAGCCACTTCCCACTCTACATCAAAACATTCTATCTTTTACTTCCTACTTCTTTCCCATCTTGAACTTATAAACAAGAGATGTGGATATTTTATGGATAAATATCTAAGGTAAAGATGCATCTCATCTTTGCTAGGTGCCTCAACTGGTCCAAGTATCATATTCTAATTGATCCAAATTAGAAAAGTTGCTCCTTAACTCCTGAATGGATTTGTTGGAGACCATGTGCTGGATTTTCATGCAGTAAGACAACTCAAAAGACCCACCTGCCATTTCTGAAAGACTCCAATTTTGTTGGCAGGGTACAGGGCAGGGCAAGAGTCATGCAAGAGAAGCCATTGGAACTTAGTGCTGAGGCCCCATACTGGTGATTCCAAGAGATTTAACCTGCTGTGAGGAACTCACAAACCAACAGAATAG